ATTACATAAATAAAACAGAGAAAAAGCAGATCTATGAATTGGACATGAAACTAAAAAAAAAAAAAAACTAGAAAAAGAATGAAATAAAAAAAAAAACAACCAAACAATCAAAAATGTGCACACCCTTTGACCCAGCAATAGCACTTCTAGGGCTGTATCCCAAAGAGATTGTACAAATGGGAAAAGGACCCACATGTATAAAAATATTTATAGCAGCTCTTTTTGTGGCGGCAAAGAATTGAAAATTAAGGGAATGTCCATCAGTTGGAGAGTGGTTGGAATAATATTGTGCTATAAGAAATGATGAGCCCGCAGACTTAAGAAAAACTTATAAAGGCTTGCATGAACTGATGCTGAGTGAAGTGAGCAGAACCAGGAGAACGTTGTGCACAGTAACAGCCCCATTGTGCAATGACTGATATTGATAAACTTAATCCTTCTCAGCAATGCAAGCATCTAAGACATCTCCAAAAGTCTCATGATGGTAAATGTTATTAATATCCAAAGAAACAACTATGGAGTTTAAATGCAAATCAAAGCATATTATTTGCTATTTTTTTCTTATGTTTTGTTTTGTTTTCTCTTTGTTGTGGTTCCTTCTATTAGTTCTAATTCTTCCTTACAACACCACTAATGTGAAAATATGTTTAATAGAAATGTATATGTATAGCCTATATCAGATTGTGTACCATCTTGGGGAGAGAGGTGGAGAGGAAGGGGGAAAAATTCAAAACTCAAAAGCTTATAGAAGTTATTGTTGATAAATCAAAACAAATTAATAAAAAATAAAAAGAAATAAAAACAGGGATTATATGAAGAGAATTACAAAACACTTATCACACAAATAAAGACAGATCTAAACAAAACAAACAAATAAATAAATATATAAAGGCCAAATTGAAAATCCTGAAAACCAAAAGAAAGATTAATAAAATTTAAAGTAAGGAAACTATTGAACTAATAAATGAAACTAGAAACTGGTTTTATGAAAAAAACAATAAAATAGATTAATAATTGGTTAATTTGATTTTAAAAAAGGAAAGAAGAAAACATTACTAATATCAAAAATGAAAGGAATGAATTCACTACCAATGAAGAAGTAATTAAGACAATTATAATATGCCTAATTATATGTCAATACATTTGACAATCTAAATAAAATGGATGGATATCTACAAAAACATAAATCGCCCAGATTTTCAGGAGAAGAAATAAAATACTTAAATGACCCAACTTAGAAAAAGAAATTGCATAAGGCATCAATGAACTTCCTAAGAAAAAATTCCCAAGGCCAGATGGATTCACAAGCAAATTCTACCAAACATTTAAAGAACAATTAATCCCAATAGTATATAAACTATTTGGAAAAATAGATGAAGAAGTCATCCTCCCAAATTCCTTTTATGACACAAATATGGTGCTGATAACTAACCCAGGAAGAACCAAAGCAAAGAAAATTGTGGACCAATTTCTCTAAGGAATATGTATATATATATATATATATATATTTTTTTTTTTCTTTTCCTAGGCAATGGGTTTAAGTGACTTGCTCAGGGTCACACAGCTGGTAAGTGTTATATGTCTGAGGCCAAATTTGAACTCAGGTTCTCCTCACTCCAGGGCCAGTGCTCTATCCACTGTACCACCAAGCTGCCCCACTAAAGAATATTGATGTATTTTTAAATAAAGTACTAGCTACATGATTATAGCAATATATCACAAGTATCATACACTATGACCAGATGGGATTCATACAAGAAATGCAGGACTGGTTCAATATTAGGAAAACTATCAACATAATTGTTCATATTAATAATAAAACTAACAGAAATCATATGATTATCTCAATAGATGCAGAAAAAAGCCTTTGACAAAATACAACATCCATTCCTATTACAAACACTAGAGAACATAGGAATAAATGAAGTTTACCTTAAAATGGTAAGTAATATTTATGTAAAACCATCAACAATCATTATCTGTAATGGAGATAAGCTAGAAGCCTTCCTAATAAAATCAGTGGTGAAGCAAGGATGTCGATTAGCACCTCTATTATTTAAATTGTATTAGTAATATTAGCTATAGCAATAAGAGGAGAAAAAAATTAAGGAAATTAGAATAGGCAATGAGGAAGCAAAACTATCACTCTTTGCAGATGATATGATATTATACTTAGAAAATCCTAGAGTATCAACTAAAAAAAAACTACTTGAAATTATTAATAGCTTTAGCAAAGTTGCAGGATACAAAGTAAACCCACAGAAATCATTGGCATTTCTATATATTACCAACAAAGTTCAGAAGCAGGAGATAAAAAGAGAAATTACATTTTAAGCTACTGTAGGCAATATGAAATACTTGGAAGCCTACCTGCCAAGACAAACCCAGGAACTATATGAACACAAAATATATACAAAACTATAAAACACTTTTCACAAAAATAAAGTCAGTTCTAAACAATTGGAAAAGTATGAATTGCTCATGGGTATGAAGAGCCAATATAATAAAAGTGACAATTCTACCTGTTAATTTATTTATTCAGTGCCATATCAATCAACCTATCAGAAATTATTTTATAGAGCTAGAAAAAATAATAGCAAGATTCATCTATGAGAACAAAAGCTCAAGGATAACAAGGGAATCAATGAAAAAAAAGTGAACAAATGTGGTCTAGCCTCATCAGATCTCAAATTGTGTTATAAAATGGTAATGATCAAAACAATCTG